GGGAGGAAGTTGGGGGGGGGAAATGAAAAATGAGGCGAAAAAAAATAGCGTATTTAGTCTACCGGTAGTTAAAAAGAAAAAACAGCTGTCCCCCGTATATATCAGGAGAAGGCAGTTGTATTTTTACTTCAAAAAAAGGTGGAAAATGTCTTTTTTTTTTTTTAAAAGGTGGAAAAAAAATAAAAATGCTGCGAAGATGACTGCTTGACGGACGGCGTTCTTGTGTTCTTTTTTTTTTCTTTTTTTTTTTTTTTGGTGGAAAAACGAACTTCAAGACCCTATTTGCAAGACGTCTATCCCAGCGGTGGGTGGTGGTGACGGTGTTCATTTTCGGTAAGATCAATGGCGATGCCCTGGGCCGAGGTCCCGCTAGCAAAGAGGATAGGATCAAGCTCCTGAATCTGGACGTGTTTTAAGCAGAGATGCAGAAAAGCAGTTTAATCTCGATTTCCTGCACCTGTCCACATTTACGTCCAAATTCAGGCATTCGATCCGATCCTCTTTTCTAGTGCGACCACGCCCCTGATGTCCCTCTCTCTCTCTCTCTCTCTCTCTCTCTCTCTCCACACACACACATTCAAAAAACTATAATTGCCAGTCTTCGTGCACCACAAGGTCTTTCTGGACCTCATTCAGCGTCCATTCGCTCTGCTTCAGCCTAGCTGTTAGGTGTCCGTATCTGGTCGCAATCTCGTCAAAGTGAGGATCGATACCCTCAAACTCCCTTAGACGCGTCTTCGCTCTGCTGTAAACTGCGCTGTCTTCCTCCATTGCCTGCTGCAAGTGCCCACGAATGACCTCAAGCGCACCCACTGCCATTGGGGTATAGGTATCCTTCAAGACCATAGCTTCAAGACGCCTCAACTTGGACTGCATCGTGGAGACGCGACGGCACAGCCACTCTGTCTTCATCTTGTCATATTCATGTTGATGACCGAGCCTGTGGGACTGCGTGATCTTCAGCAGCTCTCCGAGTATCCGCTCCAGAACGCTATAGAACTCGCACAGCTTGCCCTCTGCTGAACAGAAGTCCTGAAGCAACGTCTGCCGCTCCCGGGTCAGCTCTGTCACCGCCTCCGACACCCTCTCTGGCAATGGTCTCCCTGCTGTTGATGCGGCGGAGGCGTCCAATGCGCCGGCGTCAAGCGCTGCTGCAAGTCTGTCGCATTTCTCTGTTAACCTTGCTTCAATCTCCAAAATAAAGGGCGACCTGTCCTCCACACAGAGTGCTCCCTCCCGTTGATATGACCCTTGCACTTCATTCGGCGGCGGCTGATGACACCCTTGCAGCAGCAGTTGATGTGGCTGCACACCGAGCATATGCGTGGCAGAGCCCCACACGTGAAACTCGTCAGCAGGGGGGGGGGGGGGGGGAGGTGCGCTCCCATCCTCTCTCAGTAGCTCGAAATTTGCCTCCTTGTCCGGATCGTCAGAATCCAGGGTAATCAACGGTAGACGCAATCTCTGTGCTGCTTCCATCGACACCAATCGCCTTTCCAGGGCTTCATACACCTCTGGATCGCATGTAAGGCCAGCCTGTGCGAGAGCTGCTCTTGAGTCAAGATGCGGCGACGCGGGAGCATTTGTCTCCAGAAGGACCAGAACAGCCTGGTAAGACTCTAGAACAGCAACAACCTCTTCGTACACAGCCTCCGCTTCGAGGTAGTTCAACCTCTCCTTCCTCATTTGCAGCCTTGCATCTTCCATGTCCTCTGCTGTATGTTGCAGGACGAAAGAATGGTCATCTGGCAGGCAGTAGGTCTCCAGCTGCTCTAGGAGATCCACGAACTCTGGACATGCATCCAGCTCGGCCTTCGACATATGCACAGGGATCTTCATCCTGAAAAAGTTCGCCTCCGTTTTATACCACCTTCTTAATATGTCCTTTCACACGACCACAATATTCTCTCTCTCTCTCTCTCTCTCTCTCTCTCTCTCTCTCTCTCTCTCTCTCTCCCACCTTCTTATGTCCTTTCTCAG